TTTTTTTGTAAATAGATTTATTTATGAAAAATATTTTTAACTTGGGAAGATAAAGATTTAAAATATTTTTCACAGGACATAAAATTGTACTTAAGTCATTCTTTGCTAATGTAACTATCTATCTATCTATCTATAAAAGTATAATATGCAAATTGACTAGACGGCAGAACAACCGGTTGCTATGATGTGCACTGACCACCAGGGGGCAGACGCTCAATGCAGGGGCTGCCCTCAGCCCTCAGGCTCTGATCACCCAATGGGGAATGGGGAACTGGGGTAGGTGGCAGTGGATGCGGGCGGCGCCAGGCCAAGGCTGGTGCGAGCAAGTGGAACCCCGATTGCCCTGCCAGTTGCCCCACACACAGAGGGCGATCGATGTTGGCAGAAGGGAGGGGGGCTGGCTGCCAGCAGCCGGCAGCCGGCATCCGGCAGCCGGGGAAGATCTGCCCCGATTGCAGGCCAGATCTAGGGACCCTACCTGAGCACACATTTCATGCACCAGGCCTCTAGTAATGTAATAAAATATTGCATATGGCCATAAGAAAAATAGAATATGTGTAACCAAATATTACTAGTGTGTATATTTAGATTTGTAAGAAGGTGAGATTATTTGATAGAAAGCAATAATACACTTGGCTATTACTTGATCTTAATATTCATTTCATGGAGCTATTTAGCCATTACATGTGTATTCTTTTTTTAAAAAATATATTTTATTGATTTTTTACAGAGAGGAAGGGAGAGGGATAGAGAGCTAGAAACATTGACGAGAGAGAAACATCAATCAGTTGCCTCCTGCACACCCCCTACTGGGGATGTGCCCACAACCAAGGTACATGCCCTTGACCGGAATCGAACCTGGGACCCTTGAGTCCACAGGCCAACGCTCTATCCACTGAGCCAAACCAGTCAGGGCTACATGTGTATTCATTTCTTTATCATATAAAAATATCCAGATGTTGTTTTTTTCTTTTTATTTTTTTTGTATTTATTTATTTTTCATTTATTATTATTATTATTAAGGTATTACAGATGTGTCCTCATCCCCCCATTAACCCCCCAACCTCCCCCCACACACACACACACTCATGCTCCCATCCCCCTGTTGTCCATGTCCATTGGTTTGGCTTATATACATGTATACAAGTCCTTCGGTTGATCTCTTCCCCGTACCCCGGCCCTCCCCTACTTCCCTTCTGGGGATTGATAGCCTGATCGCTGTTTCTCAGAAAATATCCAGATGTTAAAGAGAGGTACAATCACATTATGGCAATGAAAAGAAATTATGTTAAATATTTAATGGGAAAATGCATTTAAATACATAATTATGCCTGGCTAGCGTGTGCGCTCACTCAGTGGTTCAGCCTCCCATTCCCAGTCAGGGCACATGCCCAGGTTGTGGGTGTGATCCCCAGGGGTGTGTGTGCAGGAGGCAGCTGATCAATGATTTTCTCTCATCATTGATGTTTCTATCTTTCTCCCTTTCCTTTTCTCGAAATCAATAAAAATATGTATATTTTTAAAAGAAAGATAATTCCCTTGTTGAAAGTCAGTAAGTTGGCTTTTCATGGAGAGAAAAGTTGGGAATGAAATAACAATCCTATTTTATAAATGAGGAGACAGATAATTTACCAGATAAGCGTATGTACGAGTAGGTTCCTCACTTCTCCTATTTCATCAATTTATGTGCAAATTCTAATGGGGTGAACAGTTCAGAGATACTTCAGTCAACGAAATGTGCTTAGGAACAAAAAGGACTCAGTAGATGTGTTTTCTCCCCAGAAAGAAAATCGGGAATTGCTTAGGGGTGGAATGCCCCGCTGTCTAGGTGAGGGGGTTCCTTGTGCCTAAGGGGTTAGTCCAGAAAGTTTAGTCAAAGCCAGGACTGGAAAGCGTGCATTGCTCCCTGCGCAGCCCGCCAGGATGCACAGACAGAGGGTAGGCATCACTGTGCGCTCGCAGGTCAGCCTCTGCGCCTAGCTGCTGGAAGAGTCCATTAGAGATGGTCAAGGCAGGGTGTTCCCGATAGCGGAGCACGGACCTGGCTGCCCGCTGCGCAGATGGAGATGCACTGCCTTGGGCGGCCACCCCCGCTCCGCTGGTCAGGTGAGCGCAGCCCGGGGAGCCTCTGGTCCTATTGGGGCAGACAGAGCATGGAGGAGGGCGGGGGTTGGGGGTAAAATAAGGGGGAGGACCCGATACCAGGAGAAAGAATAAGCAACCCCGGCGCTACGTGTGGACGCAGGCGAGAGCGAGAGCGAGAGCGAGGGTGTGCGAGGCAGTTACCAGCGGGGACAGCAGGGCGCAGGGTGCGCGGATGTCGGTGTCTCCGGGGCCAGGTAGGCTTTGGAAGGTGCTGCGAGCATCCGAGCATCCCGGTGCCCGGGCACCGCAGCGTTGGTGGCGGCG